GGTCACAGTGGGGTGCAGCATCTGGGTCATGATCGCCCCCAAGGCTGTCCCCTTGGCCTTGACCCACGGGCAGTGCTTTCCTCACACTCAACACTGAGCCCACACACGTGCCAGGCTCTGCTCTGGGCACGAGGAGCAGTCAGGATGGAGACAGACACCGTCTCTGCCCTCGCCGAGCAGCGGGCTGCTGCCTCTGCAGGTGGTACGAGGCCCCAGGCCAGGGAACAGCTTTGCCTGGACCCGTGCGTTAGCCTCTCAGCACGTCTGATGTTCAGAGGAGGAGAGAGGCCGGAGAGGGGGAGGGTGTGTCCAAGGGCCGTAGCAGTGAGGGTGCTGCAGCTGTGGAGATCGGTCCCCCGCCCCACCCTGGCCCTGCACTCTGTCACCTGCTGCCTGCATCTGCCTTTGAAGCCTCTGCTTCGGCCGCACCCACTGTACGAACTGACCACTCTGCCACCTTTGATGTTTTTGCCCAAGAGAAGTGAGTCAAAGGACTAATGTTCTCTCTCTCTGGTTCCCTAGTGCTCTCTCCAGAGAGATGACGCCTGCCCCTGGGAAGACAGTGGCGCTGGGACCACAGCGGGGGTCAGTCACAGGCAGAAGGACCGGAGCTGTTTCAGGACACAAGGCGGCTTCGAAGGCCTCCCAGAAAAGAGGACAGCGATTCTTTCAGCCAAGGGCACTTTATTTCTCCTCTCTCCCGCCCACAGGAGCCCGGCCTGTTCACGGGGATGGAAGTGACCTTGCGGGGGGGGGGGGGCAGGGGGGGACAGTGGAGAAGGGGAGAGGAAGCTCTGGGCCGGGCCCCCTGCCAGCGCGGACCCAGGGCACTCGCACAGAGGGTCCCCCAAAAGAGAGCTAACAAGCAGAACGGCAGGTGGGACAGTGAGGTTGGGGGCAACTTATACGCAGGAGCAGGAGGGCGCCGAGGGAACAGCCACCAGAGAAGAGAGGAGGGAGTGGTGGCGAAGAGCAGACGTAAATATCCCGGCGAGCGTGCAGGGTGATAGGTGAGTAGCGATGATATTTCAAAGAACAACGAGGCAGCAATATCCTAGGCCTGCTTCCAGCAGAGAGGTTGGGGGGGCCAGGCTGCAGGCGGGAGTTCCCTCTGGACAGGGGGACAGATCTCCTGGGGGGTCCAGGGTGGAGCAGGTGCCTGGAGAGGGAGGAGCCAGGCCTGGCCATGGGAGGCGGGTGCTCAGGAGTGTCAGACGCCTCTCTGGTTCAGTCCGGCGTACAGCTCCCTCTGGCCTTTCCTGATGGGCTGGGGGGAAGGGAACGGAGAGGGAGGTCAGCAGGGCGGGAGGAAGCCGGGCCTCTGAGGATCTAGCTCCGGAGCAAAGGCAAGAACCTTGGACCAGGCGCCAGGAGGCCGGCTGGCATTGCCTGGCAACAGCCTGGCTCTGGTCACTCCCCCTGGGAGTCAGCGCCCCCATCTCAACAGTGAGAGTCGGAAGACACACGCCTCAGAGCTTCGGTCAGAACGAAATAAAGTCACGGGAAAGTGAACACCATGTGCTTGGCTGGTGCCCGGTAAATATTTGCTGGGTGTGTTCAAGCCTGACAGCAGCAGTGTTTAGCAGTGGGGAGTCACGCACAGCAGCCAAGCAGAAGGATCCTGATGGCCGTCTGCTAGCCAGGCAGGAGCCCTCCCGCTGTCCAGTCAAGAGGCAGTGCGGGGCGCAGAGGCCGGGGTGTCCGGCAGTGTGTGTGCGGGCGGGGGAGCTGGGAGCTCTGTATCAGGGAAGCATTTGAGTCATTCAACAACTGGCATGGCTGTACTGGTGCCTGCTGGGGGAACAGCCCCGAGTTCACCATGCTAGAGTTTACATGTGTTATTCCCATGGTGTGTCCCAGCTGATGGAGAAAGAAGCCAGCCTGGCTGGTTTGACTCAGTGGATAGAGCGTCGGCCTGCGGAATGATGGGTCCCCGGTTAGATTCAAGGGCCACATACCCAGGTCGCAGGCTCAATCCCCGGTAGGGGACGTGCAGGGGGCAGCTGGTCAATGACGCTCTTCATCACTGATGTTTCTCTCTCTCTCCCTCTCCCTTCCTCTCTGAAATCAATGAAAATATGTTAAAAAAAGAAAAAGATAAGAACCAGCCGCTCCGTGGGGTGGAAACTGCGCAGCCTGCGAGGTGGCCCTGCCTCACTGAAAAGGGGGGAGTGTCTCGGAGTCTGCGCGAGGGCGTTAAGGTGTTTCAGGCCGATAAGCAGTCCCACTGTGCCCGCTCCTCTAGGAAGACCTGTCCCCCTCTATCCCTTGTTACCTCATAGTCCGGATTGGGAACTGGCGGTGGCCTCTCCTTGTTTTGTCCTGTGGGGGGGAGGGGAGGGGGAAAGATCTGTTTTCACGCGGGAACGCCAATCTTAGGCAATTAGACCAGATGGAGGACGGCAAACCCTGTGTTCCCTCCTCTCTCTCCCCCTCTTCCATTCCGCCACCTCTTCTCCTTTCTTTCTCTGAGCCCATCACGGATGCCCCCACTGCTCTTATCAATTTGTGATTTTCCTCAGCTCAAGGTCCTTCCTCGGTTTCCTTTCTCGTGGAGGAAGGGAAAGGAAAAGGCGGGAACCAGTGTCCTGAGGTCTCCCCCCCCCCCCCCCCCCTCCGCAGGTGGAGTCGGATTGTTCCCGAACCTGGACAGGGGCTGGAGGGAACCCGTGCCCCTTCGGAAAGGTTTGCACTTTTTCTCCGGGGGGAAGGAGAA